GCTGCCGGTGCTGTTGGGTTGCAGGGTGCCGGGCGCTGCCGGCACTGTTGGGTGCCAGGGGTGCCGGGGTGCTGCCGGCGCTGTTGGGTTGCAGGGTGCCGGGCGCTGCCGGCACTATTGGGTGCCGGGTGCTGCCGGTGCTGTTGGGTTGCAGGGTGCCGGGTGCTGCTGGAGTTCTTTTGTGTCAGGGGTGCCAGGCGCTGCCGGCACTGTTGGGTGCCAGGGGTGCCGGGGTGCTGCCGGCACTGTTGGGTGCCAGGGGTGCCGGGTGCTGCCGGCGCTGGCCGGGCGGCCTCCCTGGCGCAGCCCGCCGGAGCCTGGAGCCGCGCTAATGGGGGGTGATTGGATCAGGGCTCTGGAGGGGAAGGAGCGGCCCCGCTAATGCAAAGCAGAAGCCGTTAAAGGCCGTAATGGCTCGTTATGGTTACGATTATTGCTCCAATCCCGAGCAACAAGTGCCGTCTGGGGAGACGGTGGGGGGCCGCCGGCGCGGACAAGACTGCGCGGCCCCCGCAGGGACCCTGGACCTGGGCGGGCGTGGGGGGCGGCTGCTGCCCGTCGCGGGCTGGGAGCGGGCAGGGGCTGCCAGGCTGCGACCCCGGGGTCGGGGCTGGCACCTGCCACCTGGCAGGCAATATTCCCCCCGTGCCTCTGCTTCCATCGACCAAGCGGCCGAGCTGTCGCTCCACACTGCCGGGGGGCTTCCGGGAAGTGATTAAATGCCAGCAAAACCGAAATGATGCCATCCCACTGGCCTGGCCCAGGCAAGGCCCCGGCATGGAGCTCCTCAGCACACAGCCATGCTGCCAGCCCCACTCTCGCACTGGCACTAGTGCCACGCTGGCTGCCATGGCCAGGGCCCAGCTGGGCAGGGACAGAACTAATGGGGGCCCAGCCCCCTGCAAGGCTCCATCCTGGCAGTGCCCGCAGGAGCAGCCTGGCACATCACGGCTGTGCCGGGGCTGCGACCTCCGCTCCCCTCGATTGAGCGTGTGGGGCCAGGGTGCCTCTGGCGCAGCTGGGAGCAGTGGCTGCGGGGCCCATGGGTGAGCCAGCATCATCCCTGGCACCACCAGCCTCCCTGGCACACTGACCAGCCAGCTGTGGCTCACCCCCTTGGCTCGGGTGCTCCTGGATGTGTCCTGGTCCTGGTCCTGGTCAGAGCATCTGTGTCCCACCCTGTGTCACCTCAGCTCCTCCAGGTCCCAGTCCACCCAGTATGGCCCAGTCCAGCTGGCCAGGCTGGCTCAGCCCCCCATGACTGACCAGAGCGGTTCAGCCTGGCCCCATGCAGTGCAGCCAGAACCAGCTGAGCCGTGGTGTCCCCTGGCGTGTCCCCACAGTGCTAGCCCCCCATCCCTGCCACCTGCCCAGGGCTGAGCACAGTGCGTGGCCGGGCTCCAGCACCCACAGCCCTGCACCCTGGGAGGGGACCCTGCTGGGAGCTGCGCGGGCCCCCTCCCCGGTGCCAGGGTGCCTGTGGGCAGAGGCGGGCAGAACCAGCCCCCCACCCTGAGGTGACAGCGACCCCTGCAACTCACCCACCCGCTGCTGGCCGGAGCCTGCCCGCCCCTCCAGCCTGTCTTTGCCGGGAGGTGAGAAATGAGGCCGGGGTCGGAGTGACCCCCGTGTTTGGGGAGGGCCCGGCCCCATTTGTACCTGCCAGGAGCAGTTCCTGGGAGGGACGGCCGGGCTGGGGCTGCGGGGGTCACAGCCGGGCCAGCGCAGCCCTGGGGCAGGGCAGCATCACTCACTGCCAGCACCGCACCTGGCACCAGCACCGCACCAAGCACCAGCACTGCAGCAGTACCAGCACCGCACCATGTTGACTACCGCCACCAGCACTGGCACCACACTGAGCACCAACACCACAGTAAGCACCAGTGCTGCACCAGAGCCAGAGTGAGCGCCGGCACCACGCTGAACACCGGCACTGCACCAAACACCAGCACCAGCACTGCAGCAGCACCAGCAGTATGGAAAGTCCTGAGCACAGGCACCACGGCGAGCACTGCCTGCCCGCCGCTCAGCCCCATGCACACCCTGCGCACACCCGCGTCCCCCCTTGGCCCAGGCCAGCAGGACGGGCTGGTCGTAGTGGTGATGGCAGAGTGAGGCGGCTCTGCTGGGAAGGAAAGACCAACTCCTGGCGAGGGGGGCACCGGGACAGGGATGGGCATGAGTGTGTGCTGGGCAGTACACACGCCCAGCGACCCTTGGCACTGGTGCCTGCTGGTGCACATCCCTGTGAAACCCGCGCATGCTGGCACAGGGCTCCTTGCACGCCATCTCCTCACAACCCCCCCCCCATGCACAGCCCCCATGCTCGCAGCAGCGGGTTGCCCACACCTGCACCCACCATCACGCGCGCTGACACCCCCCGCACGAAGGAGCTGTTTGTGTGCATGAGTGCACATTCCACCCCTGTGCTGCCCCCGCTCGTGCCCCCCACACGCTCACACCAGTCTGACACACCAGCGCTGCAAGTCCCCGGGCTGGGTGAGGTGTGGGGTCTGCAGGGCAGCTCCGGCACCACCCGGGCATGGGAGCCCTGGGAACGAGGGGCTGTGATGGGGCTGGGGTCCCACAGCGGTGGGGCAGGTTGCCCACCCATGGTCCCTGCTGGTGCTGGGCATGGGGTCCAGGGTGCCCGGTAGCCGGTGCTCCCCGGGGCCGTGCTTGCCCGCCTGGCACGCGTGAGACCGTGCAGCTCCATCTCTCCATAAATAATTAATGCCTGGGCGGCAGCCGGCACTTCTCCCGGCCTCAGAGAGGCTCCGGGGCCGGGCAGGCCGGTGCTTTTAGCAGAGACCTGCTCAAATATTCAGCTCCATTTCCGCTGCGGAGCTGCTCGGGGCCTGGGCGGCTCCTTCT